AACGGTTTTCGGCCAAAAATGACTAGCACTTTGGTTTCAGGCTCAAAAAGAGCATTTGCAAGCTCGTTTTTAGCGCTGAACGTCTATAAAAGCCCGATATATCCATGAAAAAACCAACCGTTGGCCCGGGGATGACGTACTGCGGAAAGGCGGCAGCATTTCCGACTTGTTGCGGTGTGGTGGTGGAGGCCTGCTGGAGCGTCGTGACCAGGGCAGGGTCGGCGGTGGCGGGTTGCTGCTGCTGTGGAGTAGGCGTCGAGCTGCTTTCGGCCATTTTAAACCTGAAAAATAAGGGATTTTCGAATTATGGTACGAAAAACAGATTCGAAGCGTCGACAATTAAAAGCAGAAACATCAGTTGAGGCTGTTTAGTTCTAGAGAGTTGACGGAGAAACTTAAAAACGATTTGAGAAACTGCTTTCGATCATTTTAAACCTGGAAATATTGATAGCTTTTTTTAATTATAGCTCTAAAGCCATTCAAAGAAGATTGGAAAAGAAATACAAAGTCAAAAACACGAAAAAAATCGCGTTTCGCCGTCTTACATTGGTAATCGTCGTAAAAGAGCTCCAATACTAATTGCTTTTTCTCAACTGATTGCTAAAAGTAATGATAAACGGCAATAAATTGGCAATAAGTAAGTAATTAAAATATTAATAAAGTGAAGACCAAAGCAAAAACCCTGCTGTCGATTCGTTTATTGTGGTTGTGCGAACAAGTGAGGTAGTGTTCGTCCAGCTGCGCCAGAGAATAGTGCGTGAAAGGGAGAGGGGCGAGGGGCGGGGAGGGTGTAGCCTGAGGCTCATCCAAATTGACTGGAGTATCGATCCGAAATCAGCCCGCTCGATCCATTTTTGGGAAGTCGGCTCTAACAGTTATTGAAAAGGCGTAAAATTCATATATTTATTAGTACATAGAAATCTTATAACAAAAATATCGCATCATATTGGTCCTTTTTGGCTATCGCCCGACTGGGACCTTCTTTCTCATTCGAAAGAGGTTTTGGTTTATGTACAAGACGAGACGTTAAGGTATCCTTAGAAAATCGGAGGTAGAGCACGAGTTTCTTCTCGGAATCGACCATTTTTCGCTGCAGATCGGCGTCGTCTTTTATTAATGTCATTGACTTCGACAGGGCAGAAATAATTCTAAATTATCGTATTTATTAATGGACTATTAACGACTATTTTAAGATATTTCAAACTCTACAAAGTATATAACTTACTGCGGTTTATCAGAAGGACCAATATCACAACTCTGCGTCAACCAGCCATCACCATAAAGTTTTACTTTCCGTAATGCTTTGTAGAATTCCATCAATGTCGCCAGATTCGTCTAAAAAACTTATCTTCGCGTTATTTTACTTACAGCATGCTCTAAAAACCGATTTCCGTCCTATAAGGCCATTTCTTTCGAACGGCTTGTCTACAAGTTTTGCAAATTTTTAATTCTACAGCACTTATTGAGCCATTTATATACTTTTAATAGAAATAACCATACTTTAATTACTTACCTTAACTTTCATATCACATTTCCTGGCCGAAGTCTCATGCGACGACATGAAAAATATATTATCCTGGACGAACGCGATAAAAGGGCTCGGTATCGAGACCCGGAAATTTCGAGTAAGTTGTAGGGTACAGATCACGGGGTGTAGGTATTGTCTAAGCAAAATTCGCATAAAACCTTACAATTACACTCACATTAAATGATCCTCAATAATCGCTGCTCGCTGGCAACCCTCCAGCTCCATCTCGAGCTCATAGACATCCCCGTTTCCAATTTTTGCCAGATACTCGATTTCCTCCTCGAATTTGTTGCTGTTATAGCCCTCGTGTGCTTCTTTCAATTCGGAATAAGCGTACTGAAACGTACTCTAGCTACCGTATTACAAAATATTCACTTACGCTATCGATATAAACTTTTCTGGTACCAGTTTCTTCGAAAAAGTCATCATTGACTTCGGATAAGAAATAGTTTTCATGACGGCCGTTGGCGAACATGAAAATTTGGGCTTGATTGATGGTGTTACTCTGAAAAGGTCTTTAAAAACATAGTTTTTATAGAAAATGGAGCTTATACAAGTTTAGCCCTTACCTCTATCGTTACCATATCCACAATTTTTGCCAAGTTATACGCATTATTCGCCAGGGTTCTCGATATCTTTTTCGATGCCATTTTCAAGTTTCCGACCGATTTGTAGTCCAAATCGCGGGCAATTCGAATCATTAGCTCCCAGGGCAAGTACGGGAGGTATTCCATCGTTTTAGATAGGATAGAACAAAGAAATCAGCGGAATTTTAAGCCTTTTGTGGCACTTTAGAGCTTGAGACTGTCTTTGCACTATCGCCGACCCCCGCGTCGACAGGGATGTCGCGTTTTCGTGGTCAAATTGTGCAATCGCCGGGTTTGTGGTTTGTGCCGGTTGTTTCATTGGTCCACGGCTTGGAGAATTGATGGGAATTAGTTTAAGTTTAAATTATTGGCGCAATAATAGCATTTTTTACTTCTGAACTAAAATTTTAATGCATTTTAAGGTCTTGATCTACAAGCTAAAAAATATTACTTTATTTAAGACCTCCAAAACGACATCAAAACCGCGAAATTGGCGATGTTTAAGATTTGAAAAATTGCGTGGCAGACGATGTGTGAAGAGAAGAAGATGAATAAGCTTTTAAAAAAATTTGTTTTGATACGGCAGAAATCCTACGGTATTCCCCGACTACGGGCCGGGTTCATTTTCTGGAATGGTGATTGGAGGTTTCTTGGGAATGAGACGACTACAACGCAAGCCACTGCGATTATAACGATGCTGATCACCACGTAGATTCCTAAATAATAAAACTAATACGCCTACGCTTGGGCTTGGGCTTGGGCTTGGGCTTAGGTTTCGACGTAGGCTTAAGCTTTGGCTTTGGCTTCAGCTTCGCAGCTTACCAAGTAGCGGAAATTTTTTCGTCTTTGGTATCGATCCGGAAACCATGTCCAGCAAGACCGTCATCGACACCAAGCTGGTCAAACCGATGCTCAACTAAAACAAAATTCTTCATTAATTTCTAGATTTTACAATCTAACGAAATTTTCTATAACTTTGCCAACTGCTCCTCCCTCTCGTTCGGCCGCCAAAACATCCCAACCATCGACAGGGTGGTCAAAATTAAGCATGGGAGCGCGATTACGTAAATATAAAAATGCGGGACACGTTGAAAAGTGAAGGTAAAGGTGACCTTAATGCATAGGTATCTCGAAAACATTAACTTACAACATCGAATCCATAGTTGTTTCCACCCCACAACTCGATACTGCCGGTTACCGCTTTACACGACCATTCACCGTCGCTCTAAATTAAATTTAGGGATAAAATTGCATAATTATAGCATTTTCATAGTTAAGTAGAATCAAATTGCGCCTAGGAAAAGATCAAACTATTGAAACATCTGCTATGAAAACGCAACATCGTTGGAGGCTTCCGACACCTTCCCAGGCGCCCCTGGGCTCACGGCCGTTCTAAACCCCTTCCCGCTCGTCCTCTCCCGTGTCCTCGGTAGTATAGTGGTGAGTATCCGCGTCTGTCACATGCGAGACCCGGGTTCAATTCCCGGCCGGGGAGGAACTTTTTGCTTGTTTGTCAAAACGTTAAAATGGCGGCTACCGTGCTTTTGCACTTCACTTGATCGTCTGCGATTTCCATACCGAGTAAGACGGTGGGAAGTCCATATTGACCATCGGTGCCGCCCAAATGTGGTTTCGATCGTAGCCGGTGGCTATGGATGCTACTTCACACATCTGGCGGTCGAACGGAAAATTTTCTACCTAAATTCGATTGCTTCGCACACCCCCAGTGGATCACAAACATTAATTGGGCACATTAATTCAGCATAATAGCTTCTGACAAGCCCCAGCGTCCCGTTGAACCACAGCTTGGCCGTAAGGAGGTCATTGTTGTACACTTCATCAAGAACTTTGCTGAAATAACGGGATTATTATGTTTACAGTTTTCCATTTTTTAAGTTGACTCCAAAAATGCAACAGCAATTAAGAAAACCGACGCATTTCCGATGCTATTCTGTGGGATCCAAACTTCTTCCGGGTTTACCCAAATGTAGCGTATCCCGCCGTACTCGTTCGGGTTCCATCTCAGCCGAATATCCGTCCACCCCTAAAATTAATGACATGTTTAATGTAAGTTCGGCTACGGTTTATCAAAGTAAATCCCGAAAAAACCGCAAAAATATCAAAAACTTTGAGATCCTTCGGCTGTGGGCGGGGGGGGTGGCTAAAGTAAACTCTTATCGTAAGCTCTACGTAACTGCCTAAAATTACCATATACATCTCCAAAATGACGCTGAAAATCTGGTGCTCAACGTCCAGGTCGATCAGCTTTGTATAGGCGAGCGAGACAAAGACGGGGAAACGAGGGACGGAGGACTCTAAGAAAACTTTTGCATCATTTTGTAGTTTTCAGAATAGTGGATTTTTTAAATGAATAAGCCACGACAAAAATATTGTTTTTTTTGTTATATTTATATTGGATTAATCCGCCACAAACTATCAGATTCTCTCAAACCTGTCCAATTTTTCGGCATCAACGAATAAACCGGGGATAAATCTCGCTGGTAGCCACGTTCGACAAAGATATCACGATACAACTGCTTTGAGGCGTCCAGATAATTTGCATATGTTTCTACAAATTATCGTGCTCAAAAATAATAAAGTTTCATACCGCTCGCGCCATATTGCGTCCAGTTAGACTGTGCTTGTGCTACGGTAAACAGGCCATAAATATAGAAAAATAGCATTAAAATGTAGATATTTCTTGGCGAGAGGCAAATAGGTGAAACGCCGAAAACAACCCGATGAAATTTGAACCCAAAAATTTGCCCTACCTCTTCAAGTACCAACTGGGAAAATGAAGAAAAGCCTCGTGTATACGGTAGTTTTATTCGAATTTTTGCTTAAAACTTTGTAGCTGGTAGCAGCCGATTTAAGTAATTTATTCACGACTTCCAATACGACATAAACACCGCAAAACTGGCAACGTTTAGGATTTGAAAAATGGCGTGGCAGACGACGTGCGACGAGAAGAACGTGAACATTCTGAATATACCGTTTTCCTTAACCTTACCATGGGATTAAACTACCGTAATCTAATACTCTGCGTCTTGTCCATATCTTTAAAAGGACACTGCCCGTTTCGAGGAAATACGACAACAATCACGCACGCTACGGCAATGATTGCGATGCTGATCACGACGTAGAGGCCTGAAAGTATCGTTTTAACATTTTTTCCGGAAATTTTATCTTTTTTATTTTATTGAATTTAAAGCAAAAATGGGATACCTAATAAAGGAAATTTGATCGTCTTTGGTATCGCTCCGGAAACGATGTCCATCAGCACCGTCATCGACACCAAACTGGTCAACCCGATGCCAAGCTAAAACAACTTAATGGCCACATTTCCAAGTTATACGATTTTAATACGATTTTCGATACCTTTGCCAACTGCTCCTCCTGTTCGTTCGGCCGCCAAAACATGCCAATAATTGAGAGGGTAGTTAATATCAAGCATGGTAACACGATCACGTAGATATAGAAATGGGGGACCCGTTGGAAAGTGAAGGTGAAGGTAACCTAAATTTATTAATTACCATGTGATACTATACCTTACCACATCAAACTTGAAATTCGATCCGCCCCACACTTCGATACCACTCTCGATGTCTTTACAGGACCATTCGCCATTACTCTATAATAGCTAGGTGCCATGTGCGATATTTTGCGTTATATAAGGTATAGTCTCTACTTTGTATCCTAAATTTTGATAATTTTAAGGTTTTTCGGGATTTGAAGGCTGTCCTGTTGCTTGCCACGGGGCGTCTCCGGTGCCTGTCATCAGCCCATCCCCGCTCTCGCCGCACGTGTCCTCGGTAGTATAGTGGTGAGTATCCGCGTCTGTCACATGCGAGACCCGGGTTCAATTCCCGGCCGGGGAGAACCTTTTTGCTTTTTGCCAATTTTGGCCCTGACGACTAGGAAATTCCTTTGACACCCACCGTATGGGTGGCATCAAAATCGTTGTTGACCATGGGGGCTGCAAAAACTTGGTTACGATCGTACGACACGGCCATCGTCACGACTTGACACTTTTGGCGATCGAACGGGAAATGGCCGACCTAGAAATGGTTTGCTATTTAAGCAAAGTTGAAGCCTAAGCCCAAACTCCTGCTTACGTCAATCGGGCAGCTCAACTCGGCGTAATAACTCCTCGCCAGGACCAGCGTGCCGTTAAACCACAATTTTAGGGATAGGTAATCTTCATTGTAGATTTCGTCAAGCACTTTCCTAAAAAAATAAAAAAAAATGGCAAATCAGCGAGAAACGAAAACTCACGCGTTTCCGACTATGTTTTCTGGGATCCAGACGTCTTCCGGGTTTACCCAAATGTACTGTATTCCACCGTAGTCCGCCGGGTTCCAAACTAATCGAATGTCGGTCCAGCCCTAAATGAGTAGGTTCTCTCTCTTTCTCTCGCACGTCTCTCTCTCTTTCTTCTTCCTTTGCTCTGTCTCTCTCTCTCTCTCTCTCTCTCTCTCTCTCTCTTTCGCTCTCTCTCTTTTTCGCTCTCTCTCTCTTTCATTCGTACCACATAAATCTCCACTAGCAAGTTGAAAAGTTGCCGCTCCGCATCGAGATCAATTAACTGCGTATAGGCCAATACCACGAAAACCGGAAACCGAGGTACCGTAGACTCTAAGAATACTGTCGCACTACCTTTACAACGCATAAGAACCTGACCAATTCACCGGCATCATCGAATATACGGGCGATAGTTCCGGTCTGTAGCCACGCCCCGCAAAAACATCTCGATACAGCTGATTTGAAGCATCCAGATAGGTTGAGTACTCTGCTAAAAATGTAAATTTTTGGCATAAGCTACCCAAAATTACGCGACGCTCCAAATTCCGACCAGTTCTGCCGCGCCCCGACTACCGTAGCCCAAATAGACGCATAGAAAAATAGCATAAATTTCGATAAAAGGCACGCGTCAGAAATCGAGGGGAAAAATTGGGCTGAAGTGGAAATTCGAGCCAGAGAATTTGGCGGGGGGCAGTTTGGGTTTGGGACCCGATCGTGGGTAAATAGAGTAGAAAAATTGCAATTTTCTGGGTTACTGTAGTTTTGATCAGTCTAAAAAGGCTAGAATTTTTTAAAGGGCTAGGAATCGTCTCTTGGAATCGACTAAATCTCGACAATTACGAGTAACCTCTGTCTATTTTTCTAGATCCATTGGATGGAAGGTGCAATCTTCAAAAAAAATATTTTATCGCCAGATTACGCCCGCCAAAATGACATCAAAATTGCAAAATTGGCAAAATTCAATATTTGGAAGAAGATGTGGGCGACGATGTGACACGAGAAAATGTGAATCAATCTGAAAAATTCGGTGTTTGAAGCGTGAAAAAGTAAAAAATTTACTAAATCGAGATGCGCGCTTACTTCAAGCAAAAATTCTCAGTGTCCTTGTTTTTGAGGCGACTTCGCTCTTCTGGATATGCAAGGACAAGTACGCACGCGACGCCGATTATCGCGATACAGACAACCACGTAGATCCCTAAATTTTGTGATGCTTAAATTCCTTGGTGTCTGGATGGGAAAAAATCGACTCCTTGAATCCACTAGATCAAGGCAGCTCCACGACACGCCAAGATGTGTATGCGTTCTCTCTCTGCTCTCTCCCTCTCCCTCTCTCTCTCCCTCCTCTCTCCCTCCTCTCTCCCTCTCTCTCTCTCTCGCTCTCCTTTTTGGGCATGTTGTATAACTGTCGAGATCTGGTCGTCAGAGCGGGTCGATTCTACTACCTTTATCTCTCAGGTCTTTTAAAATCGAGCCTCACCTAAAAGCGGAAAATCCTGAGTTCTCGGAATCGCGTCGGCCACCATCTGCAGCAACACCGTCATGGAGACGAGGCTTGTCAACCCGATTCCAAGCTTAAAGAAAAGTTTTATTCAATTTTATACCTGTTTTTTTTACGTTTAATGCCATTCAATAGCATCATTGCATTTCCGATACCTTTGCGATCTGCTCCTCCTTCTGGTTCGGCCGCCAGAACATCCCAATTATCGATAGGGTGGTCAATATCAAGCAAGGTAGAGCAATTACGTAAATATAGAAATGGGGTACCCGTTGGAGTATATAATTGTAGATTATCTAAGTAATCGATAATCATGATTATTGAAAATTTTTAAAGTTTACCACATCCATCTTCATATTTGCCCCGCCCCAAACTTCGATATCCGGGATGATATTTTCGCACTGCCACTCGCCGTTGCTCTAAAAAAAAATAGTACTTTCATTTGATCTGCATGCACCTTTGCTAAATTACATAGTTTTACTTCGTCTAAAAATCAGATGAATTACGGTTTTTTCTAAGCTTACCGAAGCGTTCGGGCTAAAATCAGTGTTGTAAAACGGCAGTCCTTGGATGTGTTTTCGATCGTAGGAAGTTGTAAAAATTGGTATTTGGCATTTTTGACGGTCGAACGGGAAACGGCCGACCTAAAAAATTGAATACCTAATTGAACAAAAAGCTTCTGAAAACCCTAAAAAAGAGTAATACTGTAATCGATTACGGCATGAAAATGTTGGGCGGAGACTTTAAAGAGGGAGCAAGAGAGCGAGAGAGAGAGAGAGAGAGAGAGAGAGAGAGAGAGAGCCATATTTCACCTCATACCTGTATTTGACAAGCAATTTCGGCATAATAACTCCTTATCAACGTCACCGAGCCGTTCGCCCAAATTCGCGCGGTTTCCACGTTTTTGTTGTAGACCTCATAGAGCAGCTTGCTGGAAGTAGCGATAAAAATTAAAAATTTTAACCTACGCGTTTCCTATGTTATTCTCCGGTAACCATAACGTTCTCGGATTCACCCATATCATCCCGATACCACCGTAATCTTTTGCCTTCCAAGCTAATCGAATATCCGACCATTGCTAAAATTGATTATTTTGAAATCCAGTATTTAATAAATTGAAGATTTACCGTATAAATCTCCAGCGCGACGCCAAAAATTTGTCTTCCAGCGTCCTAAAATCCTCATAAAAAATGAACTAGTTTTTAAACCTTACCAACTCGATAATTTTCGAATAGGCCAACCCGACAACGATCGGAAATCTAGGCTGTTTGCTCTCTAAACGCCCTTGAAATTTCCACGTTGGCCAAGCTACCGTACCCGTCCAATTATCCGGCATCATCGAATAGACAGGGGAAAGAGTTGGGCTGTAGTTTCTAGTGATAAAAAGTTCATTATAGAGAGCGTTGGAGGTGTTGAGGTATTGTAGGTATTCTTCTAAATTTTTGAGATTTTGATTTTTGTTGCAGGTGCCTTTAAATTGCGGGCTATTACAAAGCATAGTTTTTACCATTAAAACTGATTACGCAATTGATTTTCGCTTCCAATTCTTTTAAATGAACAAAGTAAAAAATGTTGCGCATTTACCTTTAAAAACTTTGCCTTCCCGACACCTTTAAAATCGCATTAAACCCCATAACTGACATTTTGGACGTAAAACCCAAATCTATTTGAGTTACTTGCCTTTCAGGCCCCTTAAAATTTCTGAAAGATTTAACCGATGTATCAGGTTGGTAGATAAGTCCTGTCACAATTTTTTGAAATCGCTCTATGAAGCCGCAGAAACATCCAATTTGGGCTTTCGATACATGATTTGATAGGTCTTCGGACGCTCTACCTCAGCATGACCCTCCTAGGACCCCAAAGTCGCTGGTCACCGAGATACAGCCTCGAAAAGTTTCGCTCAAAATCTAGTCACAGCTTTCGAGCGAGTTATCTCTGCCTAGAACAATTTGCATGCGATACCTTTAACGCCAATCGATAGCTCTCGAGGAGTAGATATCGATAGATGTTGAGATCATCAAAAACGGACATCGGATGACCGAGATACGACCCCTTGAAATTTAGCCCATTTCTTAGAACTTTTCCCCAAATCCCATACATTTTGCACATTTGGGCCAAACTTTGCCGCCTTGTTTTTGCACGCACCGAGAAGATTTTGTCAAAATGTATGGGATTTCGAGAAAAGTCCTAAGAAATGGGCCAAATTTCTAGGGACCATATCTCGGCCATCTGATGTCCGTTTTTGATGATCTCAACATCTATCGATATCTACTCCTCGGGAGCTATCGATTGGTGTTAAAGGTATCGCATGCAAATTGCTCTATGCAGAGATAACTCGCTAAAACACTTTTGCGTAATTATTCAAAAATCTTCAAGGGCCGTTATCTCGGCGACCCACAATTTCCAGACCGTATCCGACTGCACCCACGGTAGAGCATCTCAAGACCTATCAAATCATGTATCGCAAGTCAAATTGGACGTTTCTGCGGCTTTATAGAGCGATTTCAAAAATTTGTGACAGGACTTATCTACCAACCTGATAGTTATCGCATGGGAAAACCAATTACGCCACCAAAACTTTGCCTTCCAAGCACCTTTAAAATTCCCTGGATTTTTGCCACCCACCTGACACCCCATTCTTTGTCCAATCCAATTGCCCACAGCTTAAACGTGCGAAAATCGATAATATTAAACAGCCGAGGCCACGCATCCAATTATCGAGTGGGAACTAAATTTTAGCGGTCGTCCTCAATTGGCCACTATTTCATCGCGGTACCCCCTCGGTAACCAGAGACCCGTGCACACGCAAAATTTTTGGAGCACTTGACGATTGGCCCACGCGCGTTCTGCGGGCTGGCCGGAAAACCCAAAATTTGATCGCCAAATATGGGAAGTGGAGTCCAGGCGGGAGCATGGAAACGTGGAGCAGGAACCAAAAAGCAAACTAGAAACCGGGGAGATTTTTCAGAGACTGGCGACGCAAAGCAGACGTTTGCATTTTCATTGCGTAATCGATCATCCGTACGACTTTTCTATACGCAGCACGCTGCCGCGACACGCAGCTGCTATCCCCCCCCACCCCCCAGATTTGGCAGTGGAACAGAGCCTGGTTTCGGGTTGGCCAGCCCACGTGGGTACGTGGTGCCGCAGTTGCCAGAATATTTCTTGACCAACCTTATCCTATGGTGGCAATAATTCCGCTTGCCAACACCTTTAGAATGGTCGAAAACATCCACATCCTAGGCCACAACGCGCGGCGCGGCGTTGTTTCTTGGCGTAATCGAGTGTGCTCCATTCGCGGGCTAGGCTTTCATGCGCGTTGCGTGTAACGGGACTCATCAACCCCGAAGCGATTTTGAGACAAATACCAGTCATTTTGGTAAGACTCCAAATATCCCCCCAACCGGCCCCCCAACTTTTGTATATCGGCTCCCTATTCGTCTACAGGTGTGTAAAGTATACCAAAATATAGCCGCTGCCGCTAAGCCGCACCCTTTAATGGACCTTTACCGAATATTTAAAACCGTTGAATTCGTATTTTCTGAAGCATCCGTTATGTCTTATGAAACCATGTCGTGCAACATCTTCAACAAGTCCACCAAACACCTTTATTCCGAGGGGGGACGCTACAGGGACCGGGTGTACGGCCGAAAACACAAAAAAAAACCCGTGGGTGGAGAGACCAGGGGGACATACAAAACTAGGCGAGCAGGCACGCGTGGTGCTTACAAAAAAGGGAATAGCGGGGGGAGGGGAATAGCAGAGCGACGGATATGGGGAGGCGTCCCGGGCGTTCCTTGGTAGATGGCGGCGTGGACGGGGAGGTCGGCACGTCGACTCCTCAGATGCTTGTTGAAGGCGTCGTCGCCCCGTCGCACCATGTCGATCGTCTAGTTGCCCTCCGGCAGCTCGTCGGTGATGCGGGAGACGAGCCCGTCGGCCACGAAGAACGCGTCTAAAAGGGTTGAACGTCTAGGTATCATCGCCCAATCTTCTCTTACCATCCAGCGTCCGCACCTTGCCCTCGCGCGCGATCTTGGCCAACTCCTCGGCCACCTGCCTCTTCTTCTCAAAGGCCAGGTAGCCTAGAGGGGATTGTGGTTCCAGAGGAGAGCCAGAATGTGGGTACCAGGGTTCTCGTCTTGGAGCATGTACATCTCGAGGGCGACGATCGACTCCTTCAGCACCTTTCTGACCTCCTCGAGACTGCGCCTCTTCGCCTCGGCGAGGGACTTGATGGCCATGCTGACGACGTTGGTGGCCACCTTCTCGAAGAAGTGCTGGCGGTCTGGAACGTGACGGCATACAGAGTATTCCTGGAAATTACCGTTCTCTCCGAGGTTCATCCACTGGCGGTTGCCTTTGTTGAGCTTGAGCAGTACGTTGGCCACGGCAGCGGAGACGGGACGAACCTCGGTATCTGAGAATTGACAGTGGCTGACGAACTAGTTGGAACGGCTGCCTGGTTTGCGGTTCATTCGGAACCAGCGAAGGAGCGCCCAGTGCAGGCGGGACAGCGTCTGCTCGGGCTCAATGATACGGCGTTTCGGAGGGTAGATGTTCTCGGGGCACGGCGGCGGCTGGAGGACGGATTGGTGGCCGGGGGCCCCGAAAGTCTTCTGCGAGGGGCAGCCGCTGAGAAGTGGAGTGTAGTTGCCATTAGCGAGAGGAGTAAGCCTAAGCCTAAGCCTAAGCCTATACCTAAACCTAAGCCTACACCTAAACCTAAGCCTACACCTAAACCCCAGCCTAAGCCTAAGCCTAAGCCTAAGCCTAAGCCTAAGCCTAAGCCTACACCTAAGCCTAAGCCTAAGCCTAAGCCTAAGCCTAAGCCTAAGCCTAAGCCTAAGCCTAAGCCTATACCTAAGCCTAAGCCTAAGCCTAAGCCGAAGCCTAAGCCTAAGCCTATACCTAAGCCTAAGCCTAAGCCTAAGCCTACACCTAAACCTAAGCCTACACCTAAGCTTAAGCCTACGATCGGTCCATGCCTAATCCCTACAAAGTCCAGAATAAGTTAGGCCTACGCGTAAGCCTATCTTAAGGTATGGTTAAGTGAAGAAAAGAAGAAAGATAGAAAGAAACGGTAGAAAGAAACGTAACCAAAGTTAAGCCCAGCTAAACCATAGCCAAGGCTAAGCCCACTAAACCCTACTCACGACGGGTTGTCGCATTCGCACGTCACCGCCGGGTACAGCGTCGGCTTCCATCCGGTGGAGCTGCCCTTCGGCCCCCTGAAGTGGGTAGTGAAAAACACGACTGGAACGGCTACAAGACGCGGGCGGCGGCGATTTCGATGAGACGTTCGACCCAGCCGTGACGGCGTTTCCTGAACAAAGCTGGATTTTGCGGGCTAGCTTAAGGCCTACGGGTCCTTGATCTGGAGCACGTCACGCAGCACGGGCGGGAGCTCGGTGACGATGTTGCGCTCGCGGAGCCAGTCCTTCAGCAGGTCGAACATTCCATTGCGGTCCAGGATGCTGGGGTCGCTGAAAGTGGGGGAGGTATGCTTGTGGTTAGGCTCAGACTTAGTCTTAGACCTCGGCTTAGGCTTCGGCATAGGCAACCCTACCGGTTGATGAGCTTGGCGAGGAGCTGCTTGTCCTCGTCGGAGGACACCTGGGCGAGGTGTTCGCCCCACTGGATCATTTGCTGGTTGACGATCGGGCTGTGCACGGCGCCCTCTCCGGCAGATTCTGGGTTCAGGGGAACGGCTTTCTGGTTGCGATCAACAGCCGACTCGGATGCGTCGTCAATCGGAAGCGCCGTCATCTCGAGCTCGGTCGGCTCGTCGTGGACAGCCAAGCTCGAACTGAATTACATAAATTTGCATCCCAATTCGGAGTACGGTACCCGGCGAGCAGCAGCAGCGGCAGCAGCGAGATGAGTCGCAGCTTCAGGCCCATCGGAGTCGATCGGAAGGGATCTGATGAGAAGACTTTGCAGGCTGACCCACTTTCTTTTATACGTGCCCTGCTATGGAAATTGGGGTGAATTTCCGGTTGCACTGTGCCAAGTTATTCAAATTTGTCGAATTGTAATTTGCATAGCTAAATACGAAAATGTCCTAAAAGACAAACCGTCGATCAATGACCCTTTTTCCGTACTTAATGTTTTTGTTTTTCAAATTAACGCCTTTTTTTTGTCGATTCGATCTGATGGAGTGTCGAAACATATACCAAGAGCTTTTCGTTATCGCTCCGAAAGCGATATTAAACAAAATTTTATTAAAAAAGAACCGTGGGTGCAGAGGTTTTTTTCAATACCAATCGAAGGCAAAAATACCCGAAATTTTCCTACGATTGCCGGTAATACCGCTTTCTCCAGTCTTCGGACACTGATAAGTCCCCCGGTGCCAAAAAGCAAAAAGTTTCTCCCCGGCCGGGAATTGAACCCGGGTCTCGCATGTGACAGACGCGGATACTCACCACTATACTACCGAGGACACGTGAGAAAGAGGAGAGGAAGGGCTGATAACGGAGGGGGGAGACGTCCCGTACACAACCGCCCATGGGATCGGTCCAGATGGTTCAAGGGAAAGGGCGTACTGTGCGTGTTTTTCGCGCGTTGCGTGCGGGTGCGCGGAATAGCAACCGGTTTTTAGCTGCGCAGGCCTGCGTTCGCAATTGCGCGACCCGTCTATCGCACGCGCTGCGGTCTACCCTCCTTTCCAAAGCTACCGGACGTTTTATTAGGAGCCGGGCCGCTGTGTGTAGTGCAACCCGTGAGACAGTTTTCAGCAGATTTATTCGATTTTCATGGCGATATGAGCGGATTCCCGTCAAATTTTTGTATGAGATTAAATGCAGAGCGGCGTAATCTGTTGTACAACGGACTGAATGGGAGATCGTGGGTATGGAAATGAGGTCGCATTGAGATCAGGTAGAGGCAATGATTCAGAGCACAAAAAAGAATAGGCAACACATGGTGAATTGAAAGAGCATTGTTGAGATGTTTGTAGTTTAAAAATCGGGAAAAAAAAACAAAATAAAAAACCAAATAAATAATTTCTAAAGAGTCTAAAAGGTTTTAGAACATTCTAGAAGGCAGAGAAAGGCAAGTATGAAATAGATATGATAAAATAAAAAAGCAAGTATAAATTCATTAAAACTTCGTATTATACTACCAATGGTCCGGATGCCAGGGCACGTCGTTAAAGGACATTTCCCCGAAAACAGGACTAACATTGGTGGTGGCGGAATAGCTGGGCCAAATTTCGGAAAATAGGGACGCTCGAACTCCGCAGAAGCTGTCGGGAGGGAGGCGTCGGAAATGGGGCTCGGCGTGCTGCGCGATTTGCTGCAAAAAAATGAGTTTGCAACCTCGCTCTACCGCTCTCTCTCTCTCTCTCTCTCTCTCTCTCTCGCTCTCCCTCTCTCTCACCTGCACCAAATGCACAATCTCCATAATCTTCCCAGTAACCTCTATAGCTCGCTTTTCTTCGTGTATTCGCTCGCGTAGTGCCTAGAAATCATTTTTTTTGTTAATTTTATATGGCCTACCTTCGCCAAAAGTGCATCATACTTCCTTCGCGCATCTCTTGCTATAACAGATTCGGGCTCGGGCAGGTCAAATCCTGGAGTGGACACTCGTTTTTAAAAGAAGAACCCATTTTACCTGCGCTGAACATCATCACATTCTTGAGTACGACATATTCCGCATCGGACATTTGTATTTCCTTCAATAATGGCACTATTTTACGATCCGTCATCCGAAAAACACGTTTGAAGAAGCGGATGCAGAGCTGGTTGAAGCCGATGCAGCTTTGGCTAAAAAATGGACGGATGGGGGTATGATTCCAGCAATTTCTGAAGCGTCACTGTCACTTTAAAAGGCAGAGCAAGAAAAAGACTCACTCAATATGCTCATCCCTCAAAAATCGTCCTCCAAATCCAATAAATAATCCTGGGGTCTGGGACCTGTAGGTGTAGTAGAGGATTTGGAAGACGAACATCAGGGGGAAGGCTCGGCAGAAGAGGTGGATCTGAACAAATGTATAGGATTTCGGGAATGACCACACTAAAAATGCCGACGCCAGAACGCCGACACCAAAAAAGGAGACACAGAAAATGCCGACACTATAAATACCGCTTCTTGGTAATGAATTCCTTGTACAGTTTTCGGTGGTACAGTGTCGGCATTTTCGAGAGAATTTTTGCCGCTGGTTTAACAAGATGAAGAAATCAGATAAGGCTAATGATCATAGACCTTCAAAAGCCTGTAAAAACGCACCCTCTCCTTCACAGACATTGTCGTCACTTCCGGACTAGCTCGCAGCCAATCAGCAAAATGAACAAGACTCCGCCCGATGCATCGAGGGATGAAGAACTGGGGAAAATGCCTGTATTCATAGCAGAAGGAGAAGCCGATCTACAGAAATTTGTTTTTGGGAACGACCGGTACAATTTGCATACCGGAACTCTCTGGCAAAGCCGTGTTGGGCTGGCGATGAGGTCCTCGATTTTGAGCTCGAGGTTGAACTCGAAGTTTAGGTCGAAGGAGGCGTCGTCATTTGAGCAGTTTCTAGAAAAACGGAAAGTTGAGAGAGAGAGAGAGAGAGAGAGAGAGATAGGATGAGAGATAGTGAGAGAGTGAGAAATAGTGAGCCAGGGAGAGAGTAAGAGTGAAGAGAAAGGGAGATCGGGAGCGAGAGGGAGCGAGTGAGAGAGAGAGCGGGTGAGAGAGAGGAAGGTGAAACAGAGTGAGCGAACCAGATTTCTCAAAAAATGGAATTAATTGACGGCGCTGGAGAATTAGGGTAGGAGAGCGTGAGAAAGAGAAAGAGAGAGTGAGAGTGAGAGAGAGCGAGAGAGATATGGATAAACAGCGACAGAAACCCTACTCACTTCTCCAACTGCAGCAAAAACGCGACATCATCCTGCTCGCTCGACTGCGGATTCATCGGGATTGGATACATGACCGCCGGAAGTCGCAAGTATTCCTGGAATCCACATTAACACCACGATAAAAATGGAACGGTACAGTGCTGAGGCTGCTCGTCGACGACTCGTCGTATTGGGGGTCAGGCCGCTGATCAGTATTTTGGCGTTCTTTTTCGGAATTACCTGCTCTCTGGAGGTGGAGGGTTGATCGCGACTTTCTTTTCTACGACGGTCAGGTCGTTGTTGCTGGAGTTCACGTCGCTTAGAGTCTACCCGACGACAAACGTCTAAAAATTGGAAAATACCGGGAATTTATGGAATTTTAGTTTAAAAATTTGAATTAGAAATAGTTAAATTGTCGAAATTCAATTAAAAACCGTGAAACGTTTTTCTTCAGGAAATATTATTGATTTTTAAGCGTTTTTTAGTTTTTTTATATCAAACATTTAAAGTTAACACCCGGATTAAGGAATTTTTCCGAATTCTCAAAAAACTTACTCTCCGGAATTAGCCCAACCTCCAAACATTTATCGTATCGACAAAGCCGGCAATTTGTCGCTTCTGAAAATCATGGATTAAAAAAAGTTGCGCTTTATAATTATTTAAATTTCCGTGAAAATTTTAAGCTATTTTAACTCACTAAAATCGCATGGCGGATTGTCGTGGCATCGCTTTGGCCGCCGACTGACGGCCGCGCGCAGAAAAAACGACTTACACGCCCTAGGTATAGTGTTTTAGAATGGCTACGCCATGGTACGCTGCAGTACGTAACATTACGATAAAGTACGCTACGTTAACTTACGGGCAACAAATCGATCCGTAGTTGAACGAGGCCGGCTCGTTGCCGCACACCAGACATTTTTGAGGTCCGCGTCTGCCAAGATCAAGGTATGATTCCTGGGAGGTGGACGGCTGGTCCTGAATCGAAAACAGACCGTTATTAATCTTTGTAACATTTTGACCACCGATTGGGAGCAGTTTTCCCCGGGTTAATCTGTCTTTTCAATTCGATTCTATAAATTCGCCAATTTACGTAAAAAAAGCAACAAAGCGAACCGCCACGTCGAGTTCAGCAAAATCCGGGCAATTTTTAGCGACCATTTCAGATTTTAAATCGACGTTATGTCTGTGCATCGGCTTTTTGGAGGCCGGGTGTGGTAACTTTCGAGTTCAGGAATTTTATAGTTCAAAATTTGGCTTCCCGCCCGCGCGTCAAATCGTATGCGAGGAACGCCACGTGGCCGAGCGCCAACAGTTTTTGAGAGTGGGTCCTGTGATAGGTTGTGGGTGATGTTTTGGACTTTGCGGTGGTCGGAAACAAGTAATTAGTCTCCGTCTTTCAATAGGGGAGCGGGCCGGAATAGAGTTGATTTTTGGGCAGTAAAAACCTTTTCCGGATGATGAAAGAGTGGAGAATTTCTAGATGCTGCCACGGTCTCTCTATCACTCACGCTCGCTCTCTCACGCTTTCTCTCTCTCTCGCACTTACCAGATCTCTTGTACTGGCCACCGGCGTCTCTCTCTCTCCCTCGCTCTCTTGCTCTCTCCCACTCTCGCTCTCGCTCTCTTTTAAAAGATCTCATCTTCTCCGCAAAAATTCTAATCCTGGTCTTTGGCGCGGACCCATTGGGAAACCCCCGAACTCGTTGATGAGAGGCGTCATATTTGCATAAACCCTCCATGCGATGCGTGTTCAATTCTGTGTCCGACCGTCTCGGGCGTAGCCCAAGATGACCGCCCAAGGAATGTAAACAAATAAGCCACGTGCCATTGCAGCAGATCACGAAATCAGGAAAAGGCACCAATGCACCAAGGTCCGTATAAACACTAATCAACCGACACGTGACTTGGGGATACCCTTTGGGGAATGATGTAAGGGTGCTTTGTCATATGGCCGGGGGTTACTGTAAGGACCAAAAGCGGAATAAAGGGAGCGAAATACTAGGTTATGCGGTGGTGCCTGCTACCATTCGGAAAAGGGTATAAGATACCAGCTTCATATTAATGCGTTATTACGCGTTATTAATGCGTTATAATCTTGTTCGCTGCACCTTACCCCAGACTCCAACTACGGTATCACTCAAGCCTGGTGATACCTTATTTGGGGAATCGCTTACGTCTAAAAAGCAATGCGCGCAAAGTTTGGCTAAACTGGCGGCATTTTAATTGGCGTGCAATGTGATAAAAAAGACGGCTACACTTTACTTTACCCCCCCCCCCCCCCCAGCCGGAAGGTTTTGGCTATAACTTTTTTATTTTCCATTTCATCATCCATATATTTCGACGATCTATCGCATGGCGTTGCAAAAATTCCGACAAAATAAGCGAAAATACCGACAACTTTGAGACACTTCGGCTGTGGGGGGGAGGGTAAAGTAAAGTCTTACCAAAAAAGACTGGATTAAGGCGAAGACTTAAAAGCCAACACTGAAATCATAAACAAATTAAACCTTGGGTGTATTCTACAAACTACCAAGACTGAAAATTGAAATTAGCGGTTAATTTAAAAATTTAAATTAGTTACCAGCGCAATTTTTTTACTAAATAATCAAAATGATTGACATAGGAACAAAATAAAAACAATATTTTCAGCTTTTTCTAGGGAGCACCAGATTGCAAAGTTGTCATAACCAGCGTATGCCCCGGAAAAGCTCGAAGGGGCAAAAAAATTACAGAAAAATTGACCTATCGCTTGCTTTGTTTTTTCGGCGTAAAAACATAAATGCTAGAACTTTTTGAAAGGTTGGAAATACAAGAAAAAAAAACATTTCATAAAATGTGACCCACCTGCATACAACTGAAGGGGACCAGCGCGATGAGGGTGGAGGACGAGATAGAAGTAGGTGGATGACCAAAAAGGAAAATAATTGTTGATGTTTGGGTGGTGTTCTAGGAGAGAGAGAGAGAGAGAGAGAGAGAGAGAGAGAGAGAGAGAGAAAAAGAGAGAGCAAGTCAGCTAGAGAGAAATTGGTGTATATTATGGCTTGGCCGAAGGGTGGAAAAGAAGATAGGCGGGGGGTTATGTGTATGAGCAGATCTGCCCTCCTGGCAATGAGGGGTGTATGGGGGCTGGGTGTCTGGTGAGCAAACTAGACACAAAATGGGAGCACCATGGTCCGGCTGGACCCCCTCTCAAGCATACCAATTTGTTTGCATTTGGTGTTGCGGGATGTTTGATTGTCGGCACCTCGCTGGTTCAGGCGCACTCTAGCCAAATAACAGTTTCATCCTAGACTCAAAAATGGTGGGATGAGCGGAATTTGGTATGAGGTAAGTGCGCTAGCCGTTCTGTAACAAATTAGCAGGTCTAGGGGCCAGAAGCTGGCATGCATTCCGGCCTTGACTGTAACCGTTTTTTGTTGACCGTGGGATTTCGATACGTGAGATAGCACATTTTGTGCCGAATTTTTTGCTGATTCCGAATCCGTTTTCAAAAGTTGCGGAACCCCTCTAGATAAAAAGTTACAGCCGGTTTTCTACCCCATATGACCGAAAATTACAAACTTTAAATCATTATAAAAAACTCGTGGAACATTTTGTGGGATAAAATACAGCATATGTAGGGGTAAAAAAACGTGCTCTTTCGAATGGGCCACCTTACGAACCCGTAGCACAAAATTCATGAAAAAAAGTTTTTCGGTGGACCTATGCCCTGGATGGCCAATTTTTGAAATTTTGTGAATTTTGAGCTACGGGTTCGTAAGGTGGCCCATTCGAAAGAGCACGTTTTTTTACCCCTAGGAGTGCTGTATTTTATCCCACAAAATGTCCCACGAGTTTTTTGTAAGGATTTAAAGTTTGTAATTTACGGTCATTTGGGGTAGAAAACCGGCTGTAACTTTTTATCTAGAGGGGTTCCGCAACTTTTGAAAACGGATTCGGAATCAGCAAAAAATTCGGCACAAAATGTGCTATCTCACGTATCGAAATCCCACGGTCAACAAAAAACGGTTACAGTGAGGGAGAGAGAGGGAGCGAGAGAGCGAGAGATAGTGAGATAGTGAGATTTCCATAAACTTTTAATTCTAAATAAGACACTATAATTTCAGAAACAAGAGCAAAAGAACCCGGAAACGCGGCTGATAAGCGATTTGTCGTGATTTTCGATATTTTTCGACATTCTGTAAGCGGTATTGGATAGAGCATAAAAAGAAACCAACAATTCTATGGAAATCTCAAAACAAAGCAATTTAAGATAAGAGAACTATTGAAAAAAAATGTTTTCTCCCGATGGACTCCCCCCGCTAAGGAACCAGAACTATTGGGTAATACGGGAGGTTTTTATTGGGATACGGTACCTCATGGGAACAGCACATCCTTTCAAAACTGGCGCCTCCCCCCATTTCATCTACCCCGCAATTGGTAAACAAGAGCGGATCGGAAGTTTAGCCGCTGAACTTATGCTTTTCCCGGAGATTCGAGTGGTTGCGCTTTGTACATGTTTTCCCCTTTTTAACGGCTATATTCCGGGCACATTGTACCTGGAAAATTAATTTTAAAAAATGGCGCCATACGATTTTTCGTTTTCAGAAGCAAGGAAACAATAAAATCTCTTGCAGAATTAAGCGAACTTCTGTCATGGGTGCCCTCAAAGCCTTACTACTCCTCTAGCCCGGGCACCCATGGCCAGGCCCGTACGAGGGGGGGCACCGGGGGCACGGTGCCCCCCCCGAAATCGGTCGAGGTCCGAAAAGTTCATAAGGGGGGACCCTTATGTTTTTTTCGCAAAAATTTTTCTGCCTGCGGCGCTGTTTATCACTGATTCGAAACGATTTTTACTTCTAGAAAACCTATTTTTTTCTAAAATTTTTTGCCTGCGGCGCTCGTTTTCATTAATGCACCATTTTTGCTGAACAAAAGTTCGCTTGTCGACGCCGTTTCCGATGTGTTTTGACACGAATTTAAGCGCTACGAACGCGGTTTTCTAAATTTTTTCGCCTGCGGCGCTGTTATTGTCGCTATTTTCGAAGGTTTTAAAAGTGGCAACCGGGGGGGAGGTCGCCAAAATTTTTTTGGGTGGGTGCCCCCCCCGAAATCTCGGTTCCCGTACGGGCCTGCCCATGGCTGACCCGTAAAGCCTTGTCCCAATGACAGTTTACCATATGGAGCGGCCGCCGCAACGCATTGCGCCGGCGCGTCCGCGCACATGTTTATGCAAATTACTCTTGCGACGGATCACGAAACCCATCACGTGCTCCTAATAAAGATGTTGAGGCAGACCGTCCGCTAGCTATAAATGCACGGCATAAGCATTTACTACTACACTTCGTACGTTGTTTTCCTCTCTTTTTAACATTTGGCGATCTTGAACTTTTGACTCATTGCGGATTATCGTAATCCCGAGCTACCGTGCTCTCTCTCTCACCCTCTCTTTGCCTCGAAACGACTCCCGAACTTTCAATACCCTAACCCTGCAAATCTCGGAAGCCACGCAATAGGAAGTTGGACCCAAATCCGATTCCAGGAAATCCCGGATGTATGCCTCATAATCATCAAACTTTTCAACTAGGTTTTCGACACGTGCAAGGCGGCTTGATGGTAATCGGTGCGAAGATCTGGTTGCACATTTGGGCCTTTATTCAGGCAGAGAGAGAGAGAGAGAGAGAGAGAGAGAGAGAGAGAGAGAGAGAGAGAAGGACAGAGACGAGGAGGAGGGGAGGATAATTACCGGGTGGTGAGGTGCCAGGTGAGCAGCTAGTTGGCATAAAGCCGGGGGATCGGATAAGTACCTTCCTGAACACAATCTGGAATAATGCTGGCGAGCAAGGCTTTCGTGAAGCGGATTACAGTTATTTTTTCGATCGTTTGAAAACGGGACTGATTTTTAGGGGATCGGCGGGAACGTTCGTTTCCTCGCCCTCTCTCTCGCCGTCTCTCCCTCGCTCTAGCTTCGCCTCCTTATGCGTTTCTTTCTCTCTTTTTTTTCTCGCCCCCGCTCCCTCTCTGGAAATATGTGCGCAACAAGATATAACTTTTTATTAACACGTATTAGTCATTAAACACGGAAAAGCTAGCGAAATAGGAAGAACAGGGCTAGTCAGTAATCGACCCATCAAGAACCGGAAATGTGGAAAATACCTGGGGGGCAGCAGAAACTATTGAGAAAATGCTCACTTTAAATGTCATAGTCGAAGAGCATAGGGGTTATTTTTGAAATGTTAGCACACGGGGTGGGTAAGGCAACATTTGTGATTACTAAAGACAGGAGGTACCTGAAGGTATAGAGGGATTTTTGATAGGGGTGCGAATTTTAAGGGCACCTGTACGAAGGGGGAAAGTTCAGCCGGGTTACTGTAGTTGGGGGCAATGTTTAGGATCCAAAACAATCCGGTTAAACCGAGCCGACTGCAAACTACAGGGACCAATTTTCAAGAAAAAGATTGAAAGAAGCGAAGGGTGATACGGACACGTAATACGGAGGATCACAATCTCTATCACTGGGGGGAGGCACATCTCTGGGAAAGTGAATGTAGCACACTTTGGAAATGTCTGGGAGTAAGGGTGGTAAGGCACTACAATATATCGGCATCTAGAAAAGCGAGAAAAGGGCCTAATATAGATAACAGAAATTAGATTTGGAGGTGCTCGTCGGACTCGTAGCCGCTGCCGCCGCTTTCGAGCAGGGTTTGGCGCCTGGAAATCGGTTTTTATTAAATCGGAGTTACCAGACAGGAGAGAGAGAGAGAGAGTAAGAGAGAGACCAAAAAAAGACATCGAGTGGAAGCCAGGGGTAATGTCACATTTGTAAAAGAACGCGAGAATGAGCGAAAGCGGGCGAGAGAGACAGGGAGAGACAGACAGACAGAGAGAGAGAGAGAGAGAGAGAGAGAGAGAGACAGAGAGAGAGAGGAGAGAGGGCAAGATAAAGAGAAAATTACAAACCTTTCTGTATTCTTGCTCTGCGCGCCAACGAGGCTGTTGATCGAGTCGCCGAACGCTGACGTGATCTTGCTGCCCAGCAACGAAATCTTCGACGGTGCCCTCATGAAGACGCCGCTGTCCAACCCGCGGTGGATGTTCACCTAAAATGACCCAAAAATCCAATTCGGTCTCTCTAACTACCTCAAAATCCCCGCGCTCCAGCATCCGCTTGTACTTCTTGAACTCGCCGCTGGATAGGGAAGCGTGAGATGGTTTTCTAAAGCAGACTTTTCGGTTTTAAAAATTAAACTAACTTGTAGGAGCGGAGGAGCAGACTGCTGGCCACGACGGAAACGCTGCTCATCGCCATGGCTGCGGCGGCCATCCACGGCTCGAGGGAGATGCCGATCGGGGTAAGGAGACCTAAATAATAAATTAAGTGGTAAACAGTATTCAAAAAACAAGCGATTTTTCGAAGGGTCATTTCTTCAAAAGCCACGATTTGGTAACTACAAATTGCCAGAGATAATTTTTCCTTTGTTGCTTTAGTTTTCGAAATCGCTATTTTTTTAAAAGTTAGTTTAGCAAAATTAATTAGGAAAAAATATTTTGTTTAAAAGTCAAAACCCACCAGCAGCGATCGGGATCCCAATCACGTTGTAGCAGATCGCGAACAGAAAGTTGAGGTGGATGCGCCTTGTGGTCATCTTCGACAACTTGATGGCGGCGACGACGTCGCACAGATCATTCTAAAGATTGTGAATTAGTAATAATCGCAATAATGTATTGCTCACCCTAACAAGCACAATTCCAGCACTCTCGATCGCTACATCGCTCCCGGCGGCGATGGCAATGCCGACATCAGCTTGGGCGAGGGCGGGGCTGTCGTTGACGCCGTCGCCAATCATGGCCACCTTGGTCTTATCTTTCTAAAGAATTTAATTTAAATAATTAATAAATATTCTATAAATCACTTAGACAAGTAAATGTTAAAAAGCGAAACTACCTGCAACTGCTTGATCTTTTCCTGCTTCTGGTTAGGCAGTACTTCGGCAAAGACATCAGTGATGCCCACCTAAATAAAAGGTTTTAAAGAGACTGGTCGTAGTGAAAAATAAGGTTTAATAAAATGCAAAAGGTAATTGTTTATCAAAGTGTAATTAAAATTCAACAAACCTTTTTCGCCGTAACGACAGCCGTCTTGCTATTATCACCCGTCAACAGGACGACGTTCATGCCCATCTTCTTTAGGGCCCAGACCGCCAGAGCGGCCTCCTTCTTGACCTCGTCGGCAATGGTGAACATGCACGCGAGTTGACCTAAAAATAGGTAAAATTATCCAATTCCATTTCAATTGAAAAAGCATACCATTGATCGCGCACAGCACGACAATGTTGCCTTTGCTCTGCTGCTCCTGGAGCGTGTAGAAGGCCTCGCCGTCGACCTGAAGGAATTCAGATGTTAGCAGTCGAAGGATATCTACCGGAATCCCGTGCTTTTCCATCAACTGGACGGTCCCGACGAGAACTTTGTAATCTTGGGTGGCGAACACATTAGCGCCTAAAATCTCTTTTTATTTCCTCGTAAATTTTTTATCACCATCTTTATCTCCGGATTGTATGTAGCGAGCATCGGTCCTCGGGAAGGGCGTCTCATGGTGGTGGTCGACGGACCGGAAGTCGAAACGCTAAATTAAAAAAATCAAATCAAATTTATAATGATTAATAGCTAAGTAAATAAATAAAATTAATAAATTAATTGCTAATGTAAATTCAAAATATGCCGAAAGAAAATTCCTTACCGGATCCGGGCTTGACGAAGCGAGGAACTCATCGACATCAGAGACCCGGCACGAAATTCCGCTGCCCGGGTACGCCGAGAACCGCGAGACGGTCGCCCACTCGGAGGCGTTGAGCAGCTAAAAAATATTTGCAAAAAAATAAACATTAAATTCAATTTTTTGCGAAAAATAAAAATGGTCTTAGGTACCTCCTTGACGAAGCTGGCGATGGCGTTGCCGATCGGGTGCTCCGACATGGCTTCTCCGGAACCAGCAGCAGCTAGTGCCTAACCTTTCATAAGAATAATATTTGAAGATCCGCACCTTGTTGAGCGTCTTGCTGGAGAAGGTCAAGAAGCCGTGCACCGAGACGACTTTCGGCTTTCCTTGCGTGATCGTTCCCGTCTTGTCGAAGACGACCGTTTTCACCTTGTGCACTTTTTCTAGGGGTTCGCCGCCCTTGATCAGGATGCCGTTGACGGCGCCGATGCCGGTGCCGACCATTACCTAAAATAAGTATATCTAGGGGTCATTTTAGACATTTTTTTTTATGCTAGTTCTTTTTTACTCCTAGTTTAGCGTCGTTATGGCGGTTCTTATATGTTATTATTAGACCTTTTCTAATGTCTCTTAAGGCGGTCTAGCGATTAAAACAAGATTTTGCCTTATCTTCAGTGTTTATTACAATAAACCCTTATTTTAAAATTATTTTTATTATTTATTTATACAAAAAATATCTTATTTCATACAAAAAAAACATACAGCCGTCGGGGTAGCCAAGCCGAGTGAACAAGGACAAGCGATCGCCAACACTTTGATAGCTGCCTCAAACGCCACCTTGATGATCGCCTCGAACTTGGCGGTGCCGGTCTAAATACGAATAAATATAACGTAATATAATGTAATTTACATATATAAGCCTTTAAAAACTTACAATAGCATCATCCGCCCAGGTCCAATACCCAAAAACGATCCATCCGACCAGGGTGACCATAGAAACCACCACGACGAATGGGACAAAAATCCCGGCAATTCGATCGGCTTTTTGTTGGATTGGGGCCTAAATTAGCAATTTTAGCGCTAAAAAAATTGCCAATACCTTGTTCGTTTGCGCATCTTCGACGAGGCGGACAACTTGGGCAAGGGTGGTGTCCTTGCCGACATGTGTTGCGCGGACAACGAGCGGGCCCGTTTGGTTGACCGAGCCGGCGATGACGGCGCTGTCTAAAAAAATGATGACGCTTTGAGAATCCTCAAAAAACCATGCTAGTTTGCCAACAAATTGCTCGAGAATTCTGCCGCCCGCTTTAAAAAATTCCCTAAGAATCTCTGCTATTTTGTCTTCTTTTTCAGAGATCCGTTGCCGCTCAGCGTGCTCAGAAATAACTCACCAATGTGCTTGACAACCGGCATGCTCTCCCCAGTAATGAAGCTTTCATCGGCAGCACTCTTCCCATCGACAACAACACCATCCACGGGGAATTTCCCGCCGGCGAGGACTTTGATTAGGTCACCGCGATGCACCTAAAAACGGAAATAAAGCTAAAATCTTAATACTTGCCAATTCAATGTCAATCCCGCGTTCCGATGTGATCCGCCCATCCTCCATTGTGACCAGGATGGCCTCGCGAGCTTGCAGGGACATCAATTTGGAGAGGGCTTCTGATGTTTTGCCCTAAAAATTGTAAAGTAAGATCTAGAAAAAAAGCGTGGACTTAAACATTTAAATTCTCCATGCACTAATAATAAATCTATAGCGCCACGCTCCAATTTTTTTTTGGCAAATCAATCACAAACTTAAACGATTTTCACGTCAATATAATAAAGAATGCTGTTCCCTGAAAGTAATAGCGTTTTTCCGACACTAAAGGGTACTAGAAAGATTTAAGTTTTTAAAGTGACCATCTATACCTTTGCCTTATGCTCCAGCATCCGGCCGAGCGCCACGAAAACGATGAGCATCGGCGGCACGTCGAAGAAGGTCATTGGCGACACCTCCCATTTTAAAAGAATTGCGGCTAGCAGGACGACAAGGGAGTAGACGTAGGCGATGGTTGTGGACAGGACGATGAGCACGTCCATGTTCATCGTGCCGTGTTTCAAGGCTTTCCATGACGCCACGTAGAAGTAGCGACCACCGATGATCTAAAAAATAGAATATTAAAGAATAAACTATGTAAAGTATAACCTTATTAAATTCTAAACATATATTTTGTTTTAAACTTCTAAAAACGTTCTCAGGTGCTAAGAAAAAAATCTTTTGGAATTTTTTCAATGCTTACTTGTACTGGTGTCGATAGAAGCAGCAGCAACAAATTGTCAACCGACAGCGCGGGCGTAAAAACAGGAATCTGGTTCTCGGCATGCATGTGCGTGTGTAGAATCCAGTGGAAAACAATCTAAAGATATTCCTATATATCCAATACAAATTTTATACCATAATCAACATCACTGGGATCCCAAAAATCAACGAGATGAAAAAGGCAGTTCGCCACTTGGCCACCTCGTGGCTGTGGTCCAGCTGCTGGATGCGCTTCTCCTTCGAGACGAGCTCGGCCGTGTAGCCGAGAGACTAAAATAAAATAAAATATCTGTAAATGGAATACTACCTCAATAACCGTGATAATATCACGAGGCCCAGTCACGGTGGGCTCAAATTCCACCTCGGCTATCGAATTGGCAGCTGAATAGTTGCAGGATTCCACTCCCTAAATGAAAATTTTACAAGTAAAAAAGAGCTATAAACCTGCAATGCCATCACGTACGACTCGATCCTATTTGCGTCTTGAAGCGTACAAGCCCCATTGACGATCAGCTCGATTTTGTTCTCCCGCGAGAGCGAGGAATCGAGAAGAGTGGCTCTAAAATTACGCAAGTTTAAAAAAAATAAGATGACCCACCTATATCCGAGCTCTTGCACCTTTTCCGCCAACTCTTCTACCGTGACCAGCCGGGGGTCAAAAGTTACATCCGCTTTCGACGAGATCAGCGCCACAGTGATCGCGCGAACGCCTAAAAAAAAGTTAAAAATCGATCAATTATATCTACCATTTAATTTAGCAATATTTCCCTCGAGGTACTGCACACAACTCGCGCACGTCATCCCCTCGATGGCGAAGCTGGCCTTGGCGCTTGCGGTGGCTTTTTCCTAAAGTTTAAATAAAAATAAAACATCTCAAAAAATTACATTTGGATCTCCCAATGGTATTTCGACGTCCTGGGCGAGTAATTTGCTGAAGCGGACCGCGTCTTCAGATTTTTGCATCTTTTTACACGCCTTTGGGGTGGAAGTTTCGAATTGATAGTTGGTGTCGACTAAAATAAGGTAAATTAAGGGTAAAAACGCTTACAAGACTCTGATATAAGCTTTGCTTCAAAACCCATATCATCGATCGCCTCGGCGACGTCGGCGGCTGATAGAATTGTGGGGTTGAAGATGGCATATGCTAAAAAAAAATTAAAACAGATCCATAAAGCTCTCACCTTTTTTCTCCTTTAAGCTGACTTCAATCGAAAAAATGCCAGCCTTATCCCCGATTGTACTCTGTATATTCCGGACGCAAGACATGCACGTCATACCATCGACGCTGATCAGCGCCAGCTTCTTGTTGGCCATGTCGTTGGACAGGGAAACTGAAAATATAATTATTACAGCCGTTTAATAATAATTAAGACCGGCAAATATCAAAAGAGCAAAAGAACAATTCACGAGTACGTAGGGTTGGACGGGAATTCTTTGAGGACATATGCACAACTAGTGAGGGGCTGATAAGCCTCGTCTGGTCCCAGGAAGAAGATGCAAAAAGCAGAAAAGGAAGAAAGGAAGAAGGGGAAATACCCACCAAAATTATCACCGAGGAGTCGGGCATCGATCCCGGACTTTTGGAGTTCATTCATGATCACCTCGTTGGTGATGATGGCCGGGTCATACTGGATGGTGCCTGAAAAGTATTGAATTAATCAGGTTATACACTTAATAGACGTAATTCGATACCATAAAACTTATCTAATACTTTTCTTTATTTAAAACTACATGTCTTACTTTCTGGCTCGGCTATCTGCGCAAAGGAAACGCCACCCCTCGAAAGTAGCTTCTTCTCCACATCACCGCCAACTCCTTTCAGCTCGCGCGTCGTAAATTTAACTTCTCGCGTCTCGGAGAATGGAGACCTCTAAAAACAACCATTACCACGTTTATCAATCACAAAAAAAGTTCCCACCCTCGTCGAAGCGGCGGGGAGCGGCGGTGGTGATTCGGGTGTAATTAATGGCTCCGCTTGGTCTAACATAGACCTGAAATCGATTTCCATTCCCATAGCGCGAGAAATATAGCACGGGAACGGAAATGTAGAAGAAATAAAAAACAGTGAGCCCTATTTTTGACAAACTCCTTGTTAGGGCCTTATCAGAAGGGCGTATGTGAGGGAGGACGCATAACACAAGGTCCAAGTGGGAGGAAAAATAAACAATTAGTGTCTAAAAACGTGATCAACACGTCAGGGGCCGCAGTTAAGGGAAAATTTCACTTTACGGTAACTAAATAAAATGTCGATTTTTCTATTGGAATCGATAGATCTCGTCGAGTTCTACCATTTCCAGTTGAAAAAACTATTGGGACTCTCTTATAAAAAAAGTTATAAACATTTTAAATTGGCTAGTTCACTTTACGGTAACTAAATAAAATCTCGATTTTTCGACTGGGATCGAGAGATCTCATCGAGCTCTTGCGTTTCCCGTTGAAAAAACGATTGGGACCCGCTTTTAACGAAAGTTATAAACGTTTTAAAGTGGTTGGTTCACTTTACGGTAACCTCGTAAAAATGCGATTTTTCGCCTGGGATAAATAGATCTCGTCGAGTTCTTGCATTTACAATTGAAAAAACCTTTGGGAAAGTTTTTTGGAGGAGGCTACACTATATTTTTGACATTTGACTGTGACATTGTCAGGCAAGGCGGGCCGTCGCTTCGGATGGGCTGCCGCTCCACTCTTCCGAAATGGGGGCGCCCCCGGCCGCTTCGCCGGCCTTGGCGCCCCCATTTCGAAACCCTGTACGAGCTCGCACCCATCCGAAGCGACTAGGCCCCGGGTGGCACGAAGCCTTTTTCTAGTCGCAGAGCGGAGGAAGTAGCGGTCACTTCCCTCCAAATCGAGTGACTCCTGTTGCAAAACCGTCTTTTTTGATGTTTCAGAAATTCAGAAATTCGGAGGAAGTGCAAAATGTGTGCTAATAAAGTTTTTCCTGCGCCTTTTGCAGCAGCCCCGTATTTGGTACCCCAGTACGTTCACAACTATTACGTTTTTTCCGTACAAAGGAGTCCCTCGTAGCCGAAACAGATTTTTTCGATGCGGGGTGAATTGGTTTAAAACAGCTATAACTTTTGTTAAAAGCGAGTCCCAATCGTTTTTTCAACGGGAAACGCGAGAACTCGCTGAGATCTATCGATTTCAGTCAAAAAATCGACATTTTATTTAGTTACCGTAAAGTGAACTAGCCAATTTAAAATGTTTATAACTTTTTCTAAAAGCGAGTCCCAATAGTTTTTTCAACTGGAAATGGTAGAACTCGACGAGATCTATCGATTCCAATAGAAAAATCGACATTTTATTTAGTTACCGTAAAGTGAAATTTAGCCGCAGTTAATATAAAAGTTTATCAAAATTCGATTAGGTTTGCAAATTTTAAAAAACTTCGAAAAGGAAATTTACGTAGAGCTCCGATCAACGAAGAGCGTAAAGTGTACATAAACGGAATGGATTTTCGTAATCTCGGATTTGATTTCTATAAAAAACATCAAGCTTCATTTTATTGATCTAATTGTTACAATCGGTTAAAATTTCAAGAGGATCGTTTTAGAACTTGCATTTTTTAATCACCGGACTATTTTTCATAAAATTGGCTTTTAGAATCAAGAAAAGCTCCCGAAATCACGTATCCTCAATTCCAGTACGTAAGAGCCTCAGCATGGAACTGACGTCAGGTGATGAAAGTGAGAGAGAAATGGAAAGAGGGAGAGCTCGAGCCTCTCCCGTTCCGCCCCCACCCTGCGTCTTTCCCTTGCGGCCCCTTTCGTTACGCAATGTTTTCTCTCTGTTCCTGTTTTTTGCTTCGCACATTTTGGCGGCACTGTTGATCGTGTATGTTGCAGGCTCTGTGCCCCACCGTGGGCGGGCTAAATGAGTAGTGCCGTGCGAAAGTCGAAGACACTCACCATGGACTTTCCTGAAGAGGGCGACGGATGCGCTAAATTTGTGCTGCAGGCCTCTAATTTCAAAGGTATCTTGAGTTTTTGGAACTTATTGCTTTTTTAGTTTTCCACAAGGCCATCAATGCCATCGCAAAAATCTCGACCACGCTATCGGTGGAGCCGACGAAACAGGGGGGTAACCGCAGTTTTCCCGGGAATAATTTTTCTTTTAGTTAACGATCCGCGCGCTAAACCCGTTGGCCACCGCCTACTTTATTATCCGTTTCAACGAGCACTTTTTCTCCGCGCTGGACATGGGAAAAATCGATTTGGAGCAGGACAGTTCCGTGAAGCTGTCTATAAAAGTGAGAATTTATTGATTTCCTTAATTTATTTGCTCTAGTCCCTACTCGTCGCTTTCAAGTCGGCCAATTTTACGGAAAAGACGCACATCCAAGTCGACATGCGGATACACCCCGAAAAGGACAACTTTATAATGGAGATGCTGCTCGTGAACGGTAGGGGAGTTTTCATAATTAAATTAATTTTTGTATTTAGATGTAAAACGGTTGTATCGCGTTCGAGTCTGTGACAACAAGCGCCAGATGCCGAAAAAGTTGTCGGCCGACAAGGCGAAGATGGCGAATAAGCTCGGCTGCTCCCCAGAGTAATTTGAGACCTCCGAAAATTGAATGTATTTTTAGCACGCTACTGCCCATCATCGAGCAGATGCGGAACAAAAGTGACGAGCTCGTGGTGCACGCGCAAAGGGAGCGGATCCACTTCAAGAACTATCAACGCGATGGAGCAGGTAAAAACTTTTAAAACCCAAAAATATATAGAATCTTTCAGAAAAGCGCACAAAGCTCATCTCCGAGGCCACGTGGATGAGCGCCCAATTCAACTCGATGAATATTCGACGCGAGACCGAGATTAATTTCAGCGCCAAAGAGTTTAAGGCTAGATTTTCCATGCAAAGAATGCTTTCTTTTTCAGGCTATCCTTTCTTTCGCCTCCCAACAGGGCGCCAATGTGACGTTGTATTTCGATCAGCCTTCTAAGTAATTTCATTTTTTGGCAAAACAAAGCATTTTTAGGCCTCTTATTATTGTGATAGATGGTGACATTACCTACGATGCCGAGTTCCACCTATCGACAGTTGATGTGGATACGGAAGATGCGGACACGACGCAGGTGGAGCGGATTCCAACACAACCCGGCGGCGTCGTCGAAGAACAGGAATACGACAGCTTTGATGACGAGCCCTCGACCTCAAAACAAGAACCGAGAAAATCGCTGATTAAAGGAAATAAGCGATCAGCTGTTGAGATTGAAAGGTGTTTTAATGAATGGGCTTCCATTTTTGCATTTTAGAGAGCCAATCGTCCTACTAGAAGAGCAGAGGGAGGGCGTTTCGTTTCTCGCCCGGCTGACGAAATGGTGCTTAACGATCCGTTCGAGGATATGTATGCGGAAGTAGCGTAAGTTAATCGAATTTTTTAAAATTACTTGTTTAGAGGGCCGTCATCTGCCAAAAAGAAGTCATTGTCACCAAAGCAGCCGATCATTGAACGAGGTACAATTTAGTAACTAGACAACTATAAATTTGGCTTTTTCAGGTCTATCCGCTACACCACCCCCCTTCACGACGGCAATCGCTGAATGTTACGGCAAATCGCGTCTCAGCGATGCGATTGAATTCCAGCAAAAGCCCAGCAGCAGAGCAGAGTGCTTTTCCTTGTATTAGGTATTTCGAAAATACACTTTCTTACCTTTTTTAGCCCTGATTGGGTGCCGGACAACAACGATTTGGCGATGGAGACGGATTTTGGGGCTGGTGGGTGTAATTTTTAATTCGTTGAAGAATATTTTCGTTTTAGTAAACCAGCCGCTCGACGACGACGCGGACCGCATTCCCGCGAGCCCCGAGCGGCCACCGCCCAATAAGCGAGATAAAAAGGTATGATCAGTAATTTTTCTGAACATAAAAATTCGATTTTAGTACCGCAACTTCATGATGTCGACGGCGCACGCTACGCAACACGCCTCCCAGCGACTCACACAGCAAGCGTGGGGCCACGAGACAATGAGCAGGACAAAATCCTAGAAATTCCACACGCACACATTCTCGTTGACCGCCTAATCTCATTTTCTGCAGTTTTGTGCATTGACCTACCTCTTCCTATTCAGCACTACCGGTTATTTGTTGCTCACTAGTCTCCTTCACTCATGCACCATTTTGCAGCTTTACCCGTAGAGATTTATCCACATGTTTCCGATATAATACAAAAGATTTATTCCTAGTGTTGTGTGGTGTACCGGAAAAGTCGCACGTCGTTTGGCAATGACCCGTGGGTACCCGTGAAGCCGCCGTCGATTTAGGATGGGAAAATGGGGGGGGAAGTGGCAAAGTTATTGGCGGGGTCGCCAAATGTGCATGGAATGGGGATGTAAAAAGCGAATTCTGGGCATTTTCCTCCAAGTAAAGGAGAGATTAGTTAATAAGGATAATAATGACTTCAATAAGGTTAATATACCTATTTTTTTTTGGTAAGTAAATGACTTCTTAGCTTGAGTTTTTTTAGACTATCACATTCAGGGCATTTTCTCGTCCCCTAAATTCGGGAGGGGATAGTGGAAGAGTAGATAATCATAGTAGAACATTTGGATCATCAACCGCTTCAAATATGGGTTTTGTTGAATTTGACGTAGGTAACGTATTCGATCTGTTGAGTCGTACGTTGCGTGGCCGGTACGCTGCCCGAGGACCTGAAATCAATTTTTAAGAGCTTTAAGCAGCTTGCTAGAACCAAGAAAACGCGATGAAGCTATGTTCCCCACCTGTTCTCTAATAGCTGCAGTGACGTTTAGCGGAACATCCAGTTTATCAAATTTCGCCAACAATCTGTCGAGCATTGGCACCGAATTGGTGGAGCTGTAGTGGATGAAGGTGTATTTTTTGTAGTTTTCTCGCATCTCGCAGAACCTGAAATGTCGTATGATTTTTGGTTTTGTTAGCCTACCAATTCTGTGGTGCAAAATGCGAATCTTCCATCGTGTGCCACAGTTTTTCGCCATGAACGATTTGCTAGAAATGGAAGGA